TCTTAAGAAAATCAGGAAAGCTGGTGGAATTCCTATTGTAAACTCCTGATTACTTTGAAGTGTGCCACTGTCGGAATTAAATTGAATTTTCCGATCACCCATCTAATGGTCTGCAAAACCACCCATTTGGACAGACTTCACTTGGAGGAAGGAGGACGGGTATCCCATGATACGGCACATGCAAGATTTGAATGACTAAACAAGCTGGCTGTAAAAAGGGGGAAAAACCCCACAACTCGTTAAAATAATTCCTATTCCAGCCTAGCTTTGGATGAATGTTTCATTCTCTTTTCTGTTTTGCGACTGAAAGGAGAAAACATATATACCCACTTTTCAGTTTTTTATGCTCTAGAAAATATTTGAGCATTTCTTCATCCGTGAACATTCAAAACAGATTCCCTGGAGAAGAACTCTGCCCCAGCACACTTTACAGAATAGCTGCCTCTTACTGATTAACAAAATTCATAGCTAGAAAAAACCCTTTACGATACAGATGGTGAAAGCAGACAGTAGATTTTAGAGAAAAGGTAATGAAATGTAGACAAGATTGAACACTGTTCTAAATACAAGAATAACATGAAGGAAAAACAGTCCTTTCCTATTTTATTCTTGTCCCTTCTGTTATGCCACTTAGCCTGTCTTCTTGCTCTTTGGCAAGTTAAGAAACTCAAGCGATGGGGAAGAGCTACCAAATGAGAGTATCCACCAACACCTGCCAGGAGATAAGCAAGCGTTTTAAATGCATCTTGGAGAAAGGAGAGGATAACAAGGAAAAGCTGCATGGATTGAATCCTTATTGTGGCTACTCTTTATCCCGTAAGGTTAAAATTGCTGATGTAGCTCATTTTAGCTTCACAAGCAAGGCAATAAACAGGGCTCCTGCATCAGCTTCCCTACTGCATTGCACACAGAAGGTCCCTCTCCAGAAGCTGACCACTTTGCCACGTCTTTTCCATGGACACACCCCTTTTCTCAATAAAAAGTTATTTGCCACAGTTCTTTAAGACACATGGAAAACGATTTGAAGTGGGGGGGAAGGGAATGCCTTTTTGCCATAAGCTACATCTCCATTAGAAAGCAGTGCCAACAACATCTATGACAAAGGCCTCAGTGTCCCACTAAACGGAAAAATCATTGCTGACCTCAATCAGTAACCAGAAACCCCATGACGCAGGTAATGAAGATGACAGCACCTCTTGTTTCCACACCCAGGGAAAAAAATTGCAAAAGCAAAGAGGAGTGGGCAAGCAGCACTGCAATCAGAGCTTCAATCCCTCTGGGACAGATGCTTAATCATTAATTTCTCTCCTTGCTTTTTTAAAAACATCTCTCTGCTAACCCACACCACCTATTCAGCAATGTGGCCAACTTTTCCTAATTCTTGCCTTCAATCCTCATATGAAAAAAGTCAATTACCCATCACAAGCAACAGTCAGCAGTTACTGCTATCCCACCAGTCCACCAGCAAATTAGGAGGCAGAGGGTTTCAATTTAATACCTCATCCCTGTTTGCCATCATTTGCTACCTCAATTGGACAAAAATGAAAGATAATCTAGGCAATGTAGTAGTATGACTAATGCTACAGTTGCTGACCACAGACCTTTTCATGCTCGATGCTCTACAGATGAACAAAGGATGACCCCTTCTAACCTCACCGCTTACATCAGGCAAAAGTTTTTAAGTTGTTCAGTTCCTCATAAAGTAGTATGATATTAACTATGGCCTCAGTACACTAGCTGCCCAAATACAGGTGTTTCTGTGGATGTTGTAGAGATGCAGAGAGGGATTTCCAGGTAAAAAGAAAACTAACGAGAAAACTAACATAGTTCCTAGTTATGGGAATCCTCTTGTCATGATGGGAAAAAACAACAAAGGTACTGCATTGTGGCCCCGTTAGGGATGCAGCCAAGTACATGGGAGAGACTACAGGTAGGGCCCTGGGGGACCTTGAAAGCAGAGATAAGCAACCTACGTTTGAAGCTACAAAGACTGGGAGTCAGTGAAGCAATGCAAAAAATCACCAGGCAGTGGGAGGAACTGCTGGGAACAACCCGGCGGATTGACTCATACTGCAACATTCAAAACGGGTACATATGCAGTAAGATGGTGCAAGGTCCTGCACCAGGGTCAGGGCAATCCCGAGCACAAATACAGGATGGGCAGAGACTGGACTGAGAGCAGCCCTGAGGAGAAGGACTCACGGGAGACCTCCCCCTGCAGCCCTGCATCCAGCTCTTGGGTCCCAACACAAGAGGGACCTGGAGCTGCTCAAGTGAGTCCAGACGAGGCCACAGAAATGCTCCCAGGGCTGGAGCAGCTCTGCTCTGGAGACAGGCTGAGAGAGCTGAGCTTGTTCAGCCTGGAGAAGAGAAGGCTCCAGCGAGACCCTTAGAGCAGCTTCCAGAGCCTAAAGGGGCTGACAAGAAATCTGGAGAGGGGCTTTTTACAAGGGCCTGTAGGGACAGGACAAGGGGGAATGGCTTTGAGCTGACACAGGGGAGATTTAGATCAGATTTAGGAAGAAATTCCTCACTATGACATGGTGAGGCCCTGGCTCAGGTTGCCCAGAGAAACTGTGGCTGCCCCATCCCTAGCAGTGTTCAAGGCCAGCTTGGGGGGGGCTTGGAGCAGCCTGGTCTAGTGGAAGGTGTCCCTGCCTGTGGCAGGGGGTTAGAACTGGATGAACCTTAAGGTCCCTTCCAACCAAAACCATTCTGTGATTCTATGATGATGATTAAGACTGGAGAAGATTTAAGCCAACAAGGTGACCACAGCAACAAAGGTGTGAAACGAGGTGTTCCTGGCCGGTATGAATTCTAGCTATTTAGTTAAACTGTACCACCCTGGAGACTTTACAGCCTGCACACTAAAGTAAATGAAGAAATCGGAGGTGAATAGAAACTACATTATTGGTCAGGCAGGTAAGAGTGGAGTATGACTCATAGTGGTAAAAAAAAAAATAAAAAAATGTGAGGAATTTATCTTTTTTACCAGTGCAGATCAACACTGACATATAATAATTGATAATAATTCGATAATAAGTATCAAACCTAAGTTTCATCAGGAAAAGGCTGATTTTATTCAGAGCCAAGAGACAGTCAAGAGTTAAAAAATTCGGCTGAACCACAGTCAAATCTACATTTGGTGGAAAGACTAACAACAAAGTGATGTAGGATAAGACAGGGAGTTAAGGATGGAGCTAAACTGGACCTGCGATGGAAGCCAGAGAGCAATGAAAACAGCTGGAAGCATATACAGTCGAGGCTGTTCCAGCAGGCAAAGGAAAATCAGGTCAAGACAGTTTGAAAAAAAGCATGGTATTGTGAAAGCAGTGAACATACCAAGCACAGAGAAGAACTAAGGAGAACCAGGGAGGCACTTAGAGGTTAGAAAACAGCAGAGAAGATAGCACAGAGCTCCAGGATGGGACCGCAGGGCCACCTCAGCATCAGCAGTCAGCATGAAAAGGATTTTGAGGTTGTTTGAGATGCGACAGTCAAAGGATTGAGATGTTTGAGATGTGTAGTCAAAGGATTCCCTTCAGCTGTAGATCAAACCCAGTAAAGCAGGCTTTGACTGTCAGAAAGATCTGGGTGAAAGTTAAAGATGATGTTGGAAAGGAAAGTGGAAGATTTGCATGAAAAGAGCAAAGTTGCTATAAATGTGGCAAGGAAGAGAAGGAAAGCATCTATGGTAAAATACATTTCCAGTCACTGACTTCATGTAAAAAAGCAGGAAGTAGGAGTTATAAATTCTTTCTTGATTTTAACAGCTTCTAGTGGACTTGCACCAATTTTCAAAATCACAGGGTTGGGGGGCGGAGAGGCGAGTTGCTTGAGTTTTTTCTTCTTTTTTAAAATCAAAACACAAAAGCACCAACATCTACACCAACTTGGGGGAAAAAAAAGAAATCCCTAAACCACACTTAAAAGAACCTGTCAGCAGGTTTTTTAAATATTCTAACATAATTAAAGCAAAACAACAACAAAACACACACAAAAAAAGGCTTTTTGTGTTCTATACAGTAAATGAGGGATGGAAATCTGCTGCACCCTCTGTGTCCTCAGGGGGAGGATACAGGCACAGCCTCACACTTAAACAGAAACTAATCAGATTTCATGTTTGAGAGTTGAACAGCTGGACAGCAATCTGCAGAAGACATCCCCAAAAACCACTCATTCTTCAGAGCTCCACAGACATCTTTTTCACTCTATTTGACTTCATAGAAATACCTGTTTAAATCTATGCCACAAATCAAGGATATGAGCACTATTTTGATACTAACGTAGAGCATCTGATAACTGATTAACTTTACTAGAACAGAGCTGTTTTCTAACAATACATCTTTACGCAAGCTACAATTAATGCTGAGAATGAAAGAAGAATTTGTAGAACAAAAATTTTTCATTGTTTAAAACCAGAACCACCCAACTTGAGCACCATTTGTATTTCTTAAAGCAGATTTCCCCAACTGCTAAGCAAGCATACTTTTAAATACAAATCTTCAGAAACATCCTTCTGCCTCCCTCCCAAAGAGTGACAACAAGCAAAAACTTTCAAATAGAAGCAAGTTTACTTGAAAAGGATATAAACCTCTTCAAGTAATTAATAAAAAGTAGTAACTAATAAACCCCCTCCTTCTGCTTTCGCAGCTGCCACATAGGTAAAGCTGTGTATGTCTCAGGAAGCAAGCAGTTCACCAGAAGACAGGTGGTGTTCCCCCAAAGCAAATAACAGTTAAAACTTTTTATTACAGTATGTGCTTATATTTAAATCTGTTAAACACACAAAACAACTGTTCGACTAAAAAAAAAAAAAAAAACCAACAAACAAACAAGATGTGCTACTCATTTAACTACTGGTAATTAGGTAAAATCCCTACAGGAATCTTCATTGAGACATTGTCTCAAAACATCCCAGCTCTGTACAGCAGCACATCTATGAACTTTACATTATTAGAAGCTAAGTGTACTTGAAATCAGGCTTAAACCTTTCTTACCTCAATGTCAAGTACTTCCACTGTGTTGTCCAGCATCTTTATTTTGATCGGCAGGTCCCGCTCCTGTGTTTTGGCAGGCAACGATGCCATTGCAGTGGAGAGGTTCTGTCCTGGCTCCAAGGTACTCACTCCCATAGTCTTCTGGACACCCAAACGAGAGCCGGGAGTCTGCAGAACCCTATATGTTCCTTCTATCTCTCCCATCTTTCAACATTGAGCAGAGTCTAAAGGAACCTGAAGGAAAATGGAGGATTATAGCCTGTAAGATAGTTATCCACCAATATCCCATATGAAGACACTATCCACTGAAGCACAATCGCACATGACGTCCTTATTTAACATTATCCCACTATCAAAACCAGTAATAAAGTTGATGAAACTCTGGTCAGAAATCCAGCTGCTGGGAAGAAAAACTAGTGGCAAAAAAATACCTATTACAAAACATGGTTAGGAAACAGGATGCTCAAACCTGTGCCCTCTCCCCTCCTTACACATTGACATTTGAATTTCCAGTTAATTTTTCTGCCAATTTAGGTTCCTAATCCAGATCACCACAAGCAGTATGAGCACTGTAGAGAGCACAGTGAAAGCTGCAGGCAGTAAAGGGTAAGGCAGGACTCTGCTTTTCACTGGTACCTGGCCGTCCCATTGACTTTGTGACAACAAGGTTGGACCACACCCCAAGATAACAGGAACAATAAACTTTCTTCATCCCCCCCAAATGATGAGTCATGCAAAACTGTAACCACTTCAACCAATGCTGGCAGCTCAGAGCCTTCATTATGCAGATCTCTGCCGCAGATAACAGTTCTGCACCTTATTAGCAAACCTTTGCTGTACCCAGATTAAGTCAGTAGGCAAAAATCTCAATTACAGAAATCTACGCTAGTTCAAGCAGGCCAACTCCTACATCATGATCTTTACTTCCATGGTTTGGTGGCAGTTGTTGCAGAGCACATGTTTAATTTGACATGGGGAAAAACAACCTGCATGTCTCTCCCTGGCTCTCCCCCACCATGGGAGCAGAGGCAGTACTTGCACAGGGATTGCAGTGGGGTCTACATGAACAAGAGGCACGTGTGCTCAGGATGCAATGTGTCCAAAGCAGCCACTGCCATGAAGGACTTGGCAACCATGTGTAAGGCATTCAGCAGAAACGCACATAGGAACAGCTCGGCTCCTCAGATTGTTCTGGTTGCATTTCCCAAATACCACTCTGTGTCTAAACAATCAAAAATATGTGGATACTGACACTGGGACAGCCTTCACATGGCCACCACACTACAAAAAATTCAGTGAAGTGTTAGATTGTTTCCTAATAAACGTGTTTTGTCTAAAAAGGAGAGAGGCAGATCACGAAAACATTCCTTTGTCCCTCTACGCTTTGAGTAGGTAGGCAGTCCGCTGTGTGGACTTAAATGGAGCCAGGATTACATATCGTTAAAAACTGTGGGGGGGATGTGCGTGTTAGGTTTTTATCCTTGCACACATTGGGATTGGTCAAACATCTTCCTGGCTTGCAGACCAGTGGGTTTCGAGGCTTCTTTTTACACCTGCAGACCCCCACAGGGAGGGGTACAGATGCCTCCTACTTAATTACGCCTACCACAGGCTTGATTGGCTTAGCATGAGTGCCGCAGAGCCCTCCCGAGCAGCACAGCCAAAGACCACCAGAGAGATGCCTCCAGTCTCCCAGCTGATGACACACAAAAGAAGAGCGAATGAAAAGGACAATCTCAACCTTAAACGTGTGTGTACACTGCTCAGTGCTCAACCTACCAGTTGTAGACAATTTCTGCTCATTTGTCACCTTTCACAGACCACCTTGTGCATATCATTCCACTGAACTTCTCAAGCTGTGTGGCCACAGAGCCAAGGGGAACAACTTTTAGGTCACAAATTTTAAAACCACAATCACCACACGAACCAGCAGAGACAATTGCCCAGATTACACCTCTAACTGTTAACCTGGAGAGAAACCATAGAATCATAGAATGGTCTGGGTTGGAAGGGACCTTAAAGATCACCCAGTTCCAACCCCCCCACCACGCACAGGGACACCTTCCACTAGACCAGGTTGCCCAAGGCCTCATCCAACCTGGCTCAGTGTCATCTATATCCCCTTGATACTGCAACCATTACAACTTAACTGTACAGTAAGATTTTGCTACTGCCATTCAGAAGCTTACAAGCAACTGAAGTTGCCCACAATCAGTTATGCTCCTCAGCAGGCTATTGGACAACCACTCTTAAAATTAGCACTCTGTGACCACATTCATCCCATTCTGAATAAAAATCTACTAGAAGGGATGGACACAGCAGTTACTCAAAAGGAAAAAGATATGAGTGGTGACAGACAGAGACAGTGCATGGAACAGCCCCATTGTAGAGAGGCTTCTGCAGCCTGCGCTCCAGCTGAAGCCAGCTGGTTCCTGAAGGCAAGGCAGGCAGACACCCCAGCTCCACACTAAATGAGGAGTTCCTGGGTACTTTTACTAGCTTTGGTTACTAGCCAGGGGGGACCAAAGTCATGTCAAATGGAAACTGCAGATGTCAAAGTCCTTCCCCACAGGAAAAGTGAATTCAGCAGGGCTTGGCCTCACATCTTCCTGATGACACATTTGTAAAAATATTTACCGCTGGACTAGTCCCCAGCCAGCATATATCCAGATTTTAAAGGTCTAACAAGCACAACGTGCAGCAGAAGCAAGCTACAAAACCAGTGCCCTGCCTGCTGCGGTGCAGCTGAGAGGATCTCTACACATCCAGTTCCCTCACAGTGCACACTACCAATGCAGTTACAACCATTACAAATCCCCAAATAGCCTGGCCTGATCCAGCTGCCTCAAAAACCAAACCTGGGAGGAATATTAATCAACCCAAGCACTATTTCCAGTTTCACAATCAATTTTAGTTACATACCATGTATTCTGTAAGCTGACTACATAGGACATTCCTTAACAAAAACCATCATGCCATGATATAGGAAGCATTTCAGTTAAAGGAGCTGACTAAATGAAAGGCAGACGAAAATTAAAGAGTGAAGCCTGAGGTAGGCTGCAAGCACCAGGAAGAATGAGAGGCTCTGTGGACAATGGGCAGAGCAGAGAAAGTGTCCAAGAGCACTGAGAGCCTCCTATCGACCCCAGGCCAGCCAGAACAAGGTCTCCTTTACATTCTCCCCAATGCAAAACTAAAATGCAGTTAGCAGTTCTATGAAAAAAAGAAAATAATCTTCCTTGCATTCACCTACCCTGAACTTCTTTGCACCAAGTGCTTATCCTGATAATTTCCTATAAACCTGGGCCAGGCATCAAAGCTAAATCAGCCCCCTGAAGCACAGTGACAGAATGACTGCTACTTTCAGCCTCCAGTGAAAGAACAGATGGAACAAAGCTTACAACATTTAGGTAGCTTTTTTGTTGCCTTTTTGAAATAGCTTTGAAGTCACAATGAATTTTATCTTCTACGTGGATGGAATACCTTATTTTTCAGAAGCAAGACAGTGGTTTTGAGCCAGTAACAAATCTGGAAAGGCAGCTTACACTGCGCACATGCTCAGGCAAGATACCAAGGGCTTTCAAAGAAACTCCTCCAAGTACAGTGCCTTTTGGTCAGTGACAGGCTCACTGAGATGCTCCATCCCTCACCTATTCAGAAGGCTGGACTGAAGCAACATCAGTTTCCCAGCTCCCTAGTCTGAGCAGAGCAATCCTTTCCTCCCATAAGGGATCCCCTCACCTGCACACAGTAGGAGTGCACATGGAGCAGCAAGGGAGAACTCTCAGAGAGAAGTGCTTCCTGAAAATTTGAGAGAAGCTCTCAAATCAGGTCCCTTCAGTCCAGCAGAAGCAAAGTTTCATCTTTCACCTTTCTTACCAGGCAATAGCAAACCCTTAATGTCACTACACCAAGCTGGCACCAACTGATGCATCAGGAATCCAACAATTGCAGCAGAGTGGTGAAGACTGAGTTCCCAGCCACACCAGGAGAGAAATTTCTCCTTGAAACCCAGTCTCCTAACTCCCCTAACAAACACGATCCCATCCCTCACCATGACCAAAAAGGGGTCTCACGGCTTTTTCCTGCACTGCTGCATCCTGCAGCATTGCTTGCATGGAAGGAGCTGGATGCACAGGTAGGGTGGAGAATGTCTGCGGCTGGTTCCTGCCAGACCAACGGGGCTTCAGGAACGCTTCTTTAACTTGCTCACAGGGAATCAGCAGGGCGGCGCAGCACGACCCACTGGTACTGCGCCCGGCGAGCTCCAGGGGTCCCTCGCAGGGAGGCAGATGGAGGGAGCAGGGCATGGGCCGGGGCGCAGGTGCTCCAGCACTCCCAGTCCGAGCAGGAAGTGCCGAAGCCG